TCGCTTCCTGCTCCCAGCCTCACACACACACACACACACACACACACACACACACACACACACACACACACACACACACACACACACACACACACACACACACACACACACACACACACTTGACCTCTCTAATACATATGTTAACACACAAGAGACACCCACCCCCACAAACACATACAAATACACATAAATGGTTGTCAATGTTTAAACTACTACAACTACTACTACAACTATTACTACTTCTACAACTACTACTACTACTACTCAATACTACTACTACTACTACTAATTTACTCAGCTTACAGCATTCACACGCATTTTCAGCAGGAAATGGATTTTCTAGTTGTTTTCTTGTAATACTACTAAGCCCTCAAAAGAAAAAAAAAACGTATTTAAAAAAGAGCAAGCAAACATACAAGTGTTTTGTTATACATAATTTCTCTTCTGGTCTGGTTGAGAAAAACGTTTCCTATAAATGTATTCATATTAAATAATATATTGTGAAAATCGACATGATGTATTGTTTCTATATACAGTAGAGCCGCATACAGTGAATTCTGCATTCATATTATTCAAAATTCATTCAATGTGTCACAGAAAATACGTAAGCTGGAAAATCAAAGTCTTATTCTGAAGAAAAATCTTGAAATGTGCATGTTAGCCTAGATACATTAGTAAATAATAGCTATTCAAGCGTTGGTCCATTTAAGGGTTCAATATAAATCTGTATAGACTAATGCATTACACTTATTTAGACAGCATTAAGCTTCCTCTCAGTGGCACCATCTGTTGAAAAGGTCAACACTCTGACGTCATATTGTTGGATGACTATCATGGTAGAGCAGAGAGCAACGCCCCCACCTACTGGACAAAATGATTAACCTCACAGGGAGTTTTAAGATCCAAACGACAGATGATATTTTCAGAGTTACCTCTGATGTATCATCAGTAGTTTCCGAAGCTGGCGCGGCGAAGGGTTGGGCAAAAGTGAGCAAATTAAATATCACAATATTTCTGTTTAAAATAAATTTCTATCAAGACGGTATTGTTTGGTTGACTATAAGTGCTTTCAGAAAATATTGACACAATGATTTTTTGGAATAATCAACAGTAATATGGATATAATAAGTAAGTGGGCAAATAATAGAAGAGTCCAGAAAGTTCAGTAAATCAAATATTTACTGTAATGCAGCCAAAGACGGAGAAGTTCAGGATATGGAGGGTTCATTTTCATACATAATAAACAGCACAGAGGACTTTTTTATGTTTTTAATATAATTCTATGCAAATACTAAGAAACAACAACACAGGAAATGCACACTGAAACGTTTAATTTCATTAAATGCATTATGTCATCAGATTTCACATCACTGTATTAGGTTAGTTTAAAGTTTAAACTAACCTAATACAGTGATGTGAAATCTGTTGACATAATACATCTAATTAAAGTCAACATTTCCCTTTTTTCAGTGCAGTCAACTGGGTTGTTTATAGCAGGTGCTTATTCATTATGATGTCATACCCCATGGGTAATCCTACTTTAAACTATACACAGTGACAATATCTTTCTGACAAAACCCTTTCGCTCGACTTCAGCTTGTTCAAAAATACAAATGTTATTTATAACTGCGTTCTTTTTTTTCATGTGCACCCTCCAGTGTAGCTATATGATAATATTTATTTAAATTACAGCATATTTAAAAATGTGCTGTAGGCAGAGTTCCCGTTAGAATATTGTTTTTGCCGGTCAAAATGTCCGTTAAAGTTTAAATCTTCCGGACAAAATGAGAAAAGTGCCGGTCAAAGGTCTTCTTTATTATTTATTGTGCTTTAAAACAAATTGGTATGATTCGATATCAAACAAACTAATTATAGTAGATTAACTATTCAAAAGTGTACAGTAACTTACAATAACACAGGAATAATAAACGGAGCGCTCTCTCTCTCCTGACAGCCCGCCAGTATCATGCAGCTCGCTGATCCAGTAATGAGTGACCCGATAGTAAAACTAAACATATGAATGAACAACACAAATAAAATAAGTTACATGTATTTGTTATTGGCTATGGTAGGTTATTGGAAATGTTCACATACAAACCGATCTTTTTCACATGGGTGTTTAGAGTTGTATCCCCTAGATCAGTCTCTAATTGGGCGCTCAAAGTGCACCAAATTGAAGCATTTTACTTAAAACATTTTCCCGGGGGGGTACCCCCGGTCCCCCTAAAGGATGTGAAGTACACCCCCCCAATTAAAACATTTTATAATACTAAATAAATGTGAAGCCTTGTTATATAAGCTGTCCACCATGTCAATATGTTTCTCTTTTTGTAGTGTATTGGTCTTTTGTAGAGGTTTTTCATTGCCAGCTAAAATCTTGCCTATAGGGCAGCAAATTGGTCAGAACCAGCCCTGGTGTCATCCCCACAGCACCACCCATTTGAAACATGTTCCCACGTCTATGGTGTCGGCACCACGCAAACAACCCCAATGTAAAGTGAATGAGGCTCCTTTGTCGTGGTGCACACACGCATTTCTACAACGTCCTGCAGTGAGCTTCTTATTCTATAAAACGTTTTTTAAAAAATCTACTTTATAGCTTGGAGTAAC